ATATCTCAGAGGTGTTATTTGAAACCGCCAGTACTGTATGCCAATAAGTACATTAGTACCTTCAAGATGAGGGAAAAGCTGGCTGAAAGTTTAGTGCTATTAATTATCATTTATGGTCTTATAGTTTTTGCAACTCAAATGCGCCTACAGAGGTTGCAGAATAACTGTTGCCGTTTTTTTGTGACTTTGACCACATATCTAATAGTTTCAGGCTTTAACAATGGCTTAATACCAATGCTCTGTTCAAATATTTCCACCTAACAACATCCTGTATATTTAGTAGAAAAGCTGGTCCCTAGGTCAAGTATACATAATGTCAATACAGGGTGTCCGCAAAGTTGGGGTTTTCCTTTACACGACGTGTAGATCTTGAAAACATAAGCAATTTTTCTTAGTACCATATACACCAATGTCTTAAGGGAACCGAGATAAAGGGCTCTGCAACATCAAAAATATCTGAATACCGTCCTGTAGCCGCGACCCGCCGCGATATCTCAGACTGGTACCGGCTACTAGCTGAACCCGACGACAGAACTGGGTCGGGGGTCGGGGTCAGTGTGTCAGGTCAGTATGCAACCTTCAACCGACGGAAAAGGGTCACGCGTATAGAGGTAACGAACCCATATAATCGATTGCATTTCAAAAAAAAATAATAATGGCACACTCATGCACCAATAATGAACTCGTTGATATGTTGTTAATTTATGGCGAATGTCTTCAAAGTGCTACAGAATCGTCGCGAGTGTATGCAGATCGTTTCCCTAGACGACATCATCCAAGGCCCCGCAGATTTGTGTACCTGGTCCAGAGAGTCAGGGATACGGGCCATTTGGAGGAATTTCGAGGTGGGCACAGTGGGAGGCCTAGACAAGCACGAATGGTGCAAGTTGAGGAAGAACTACTGAATCGCGTAGACGAGAATCCCTCAACAAGCACTAGAGACGTGGCTAGAGAAGTGCAAGTATCAAAAAATAAAGTGTGGCAAACGCCCAACGTGTACAAGCCCTTCAACCTGACGATTTTCCAGCAAGAGTGCGGTTTTGTGAGTGGTTGTTGCATCAACATGACAATAATCCGGACTTTTTGATGTGCATATTGGTGACAGACGAATCTACGATCACGCGTAATGGGGTGAATAACTTTCGATTTCAGGCAGAGGCGTACTTAGCCCTTCTCGTCAACTGGAGAGTGAGTACTTTTTCCTTTATTTTTTTTTTACTTGGTCGCCCTCGTTTCACTACACATTACCTTTGTTATTTCAAGGGTAGTTGTTTCTGAAAAGGAAAACCCCAACTTTGCGGACACCCTGTATAAGACATCAAAACCATTTTCCAATGATAATGTATGTAACATTACTTTTTTATAGATCTTTCACGTATAATGCAGTGTCTCTCTTAAGCATATATAGCAGGAATATTGATATATCAAATAGTAAAAGCATCCGTTTCAAACTGCATTTCAGACAACATCTTCTGGGAATTCAGCATAGGATCAATGAATAAATGTGCTCTGATCAATTACCATTATTCTTTTTTTTTTAATTAGATTCATAGACATACAATCGTTTACTGTATATGTAGAATATCATATTTGTATAACAATTTTTTTTAGAAAGGTTGGGTGTAGGAATAGTTTTGTTAAACTCCGCCAATGAAGCCGTTTACCATTATTATCCTGATACAGCTCAAAGATATGGTATTACGTGCAGAATGTACCCTTATTTATAAAGCAGTCGCTTTTTTACGATTTTATTAAAAATTTCAATAGAAATTACTAATATTAGGAGAGCTTTGATAGCTTCCGTCAAATTGCATTTCAATAAGCTGTTCCCTAATTGGTCGAAGACCCCGTTAAATTTTACATCCACACGAAATCTATCAAATCAACATTGAATATAATAATAATCCTTTATTGCCCAATAGTTTAACACCATTTACAGAGCAATACTATGAAAAACTAAATAACCGTGATGTATTTTGTAAAAAAGCAATTACAATTTTCATGAATCGATACAAAAAATAAGACAAAAAATTATCGCTATTATTTCGCAGAAGGAGAGGTATGAAATGTACGTGCTTTTTAAACCGAAGCAGCTGCGTAGGCAGAAGCCTGAAGATCAGGTAGATTGTGTCACAAGCTTGATACCTCAGGAGCAAAGGAGAGGCGTATTGGCCAGTTCTAGATGTACGAAGTTCAACACGATTGGGATGGGAGGCCGGAGTCAGGCGGCGGCACTATTGAGTAGAACTCTGATAAGCAAAGCCCGTCTACATATCGGTAGAAGAGAGCTGGATCGTCGACGGCCCGTTAGTGCGAAAGGGTCCCGAGACTGACCGTTACAGAAGAGCAATCGATGAGGCAGTCAGCTTTCCACTGAACAAATTCGAGCATAGATAATGTAGTCGGGTCGGTAGCACCCTAAACATGGGAGCAGTTCTCGAGGCCAGGTCTAATCTAGGCCTTGGATAGAATGAGGAAGATATGTGGAGAAAAGTATTTCTTAGCCCAAGTGTTCCAAGGTCGAAATGGAAAAGTTCGTGCGTATGAAGTCACAACTTTTGACGAAACCATGCTGAAACGTCCTATACAGCTTCTTTTTCTGCTGGAACTCACAACGGCCTAGTAAAATGTCGAAAATTTGTAAAAAATCCGGCAACGGCATCCCTAGTCGCTTATGCTTATGCTATATTCCCTTGTCAAAAGAATTATCAAGGATAAAATGAAAAGCTGAAGCGTTATCTACGAGAATTTGTCTATTCGTAGCGTAGCGTCTCATCGATATCACTGCTTTATTCTAGATGCTCATATTGTCGGTTACAGCGCCCATCTATAACATACTAACCTTTTCAAAGTATAAAAGTATAGCAATTAGAGAAAGAGCTGTGTCAAATTATCATAGCTGACGCTACAGTATCTGATTTTACCTCGGATATCCGGTTGGTTATCTTCAGATAGAATACGTTATCAATGGCA